TAACCCTATTTGAAATAATCAATAGTGAAACACATGATGGGGCCTTATCTCTTGTATATATCATCCCTTTTCAGGTGCTTGACTAGCAAAAGGATTTGGAAAACACATTTTCAACTGTCTGCTTTTTATGAGATACCTTTGTTTGTATGTGTTCTAGTGATAACAGGTCATATCAGTTCATCTGGAATACTCACATCATCTGCTACACAGCCACTTAACCTGTATTGACTTGTTTTTTGTAACTCCACTTACAGTGCTGGATTACCAGCTCATTACACGTTTCACTAATTTTATACGAAATGTTTTTTGCTTTTTCAAAGCACCTTACTTATGTAAGTGTCTCTTTTTGTTACTTATGACTTATGTTAGAATAAAATGTATTCGTCACGAAATGAAGAAAAACAAGTTTACCAGCTGTGGAACTGTAACTCATTATCAAATGTTAATTGTCAAAAAATAAAAATACAGACAATTCACATAAGGTGCTTTACCATAGGTGTGTTTCTGTTTTAATCGCTAGAATTAAATTGATTAAGCAAATTTAACTACATATACAATGATATTTTAGGGGCTATAGCCTGAGTACAGTATAAATTATGTTAACAGAATCCACATAGCAGGATATTTAATCCAAATTAAATTTAAACAAATTCTGCATACCCTATTAGGAGATTACCCTGCCATTTAACATAATTGTATTTAACCAAATTCATCAACATACACAATTTTTATTAGGAAATTCAAAGAGCTTAAAAACAGTTGAAACTGCAGACCAGAGAGGGCTTATCACAAAAGCTTTGTAAATTTCTATTCCTTGTACTAAAATATTATTTTTACATTAAAAAAAAATTAATATACCCTTATGCAAGCCATGCAATAGTCAAAAAAATCATTCAAATGGTCAACACATGGTCATGAGAGCAAACAAAATTTTAAAATTTCAAATGATAAATTGTTCAATAGACATAAATGAATCAGTTTTTTGCCCATTTGTTTCTTCTGGGTCACAAATGCACAGTACCAACAGTTCGATTTTTAACAGGCTAGAAACATTAACCTTTCAATTTATCTTCCATTCAGCAGAAGTTTTCAAAACCTTTCCTTTGATGTTTTGGCTCACAAATCTCCTTACTGATTTTCAATTTGTGCCAATTAACTGGATATAAAATGAACAAACTGTCCAAATGACAGATTTTCATACGATTGTTCATCTAGTGTATGAGCATTATAAGTCAAAGAGTTTCAGAGCAGTGTAAAACTAAGGCTAGCCATACTGTTCATGGTTCCTTTTTTTTTTTCATTCAATCAGCAGGTTGAAAAAAAAAAAAAAAACTGACCTGATTCCCCCATCCACACAGTCAATACAGGAACTACCCCCCCTGCTAGGTCATAGGTCATGCCTCTACCCACCCCTAGAACCGCCCCCCTAGAACTGCTCCCTTTAGAGAATAGGGAACCAAAGTATAATTTGCTGGGGCTATACAAGTAATTTGTTTGGAATCTGTTAATAAAAAGCAATGCAGTATAATGTGCAAAAATGTGATGCCCAGCACATCAAAGAGAAAGCCCAGTGTAATTCAGCAAAGAGACATCCCCAAATATCCAGCAAAGAGACACCCCCAAATATCCAGCCCACTAGCTGCTTTATTTCATGCAACAGCCACCTACTATAATATATGACAGAGAGAGAGATAGTGCTCTGGTGGAGATGCCGAAACCCCATTCCGGTACGTTCCTCCAGAAAAAAAGCCCTGATTTTATTATGTCCCGTGGTTTTGAAATGCTTTCTCAAAGTGCACATCGGCATCAGTGTGATAGGGCCCTAAGTGACAGGGGAGTAGTTTACTTTTGACTTGGGCAACATTTAGACTCAATGTCTATCCATGGCCTAAATTTCAAGGGGGATTTCCAGGGACCAAGCTAAAGTCTAACACAGGCAATTGCGCACGGTGCCTACATGGGAGCACTGATGCTATGTTGAACATTTTTAAAAGAGGTCAGATTCATTTTAGTTCCCCAACATACCTCAAAAACCCATTTGCCTAATTTTTTTATGAAATTGCCCTGGGATAATACAGCAATAACTATGCCAGTTGGTTGCATCTTTCTTGCATTTGCTACCGTATATGCCTTTTTTGTGCAATCCATAAATACATAACACTTTATTGTGTAAAATATTTAGCCATTCTAAAACTTTTATTGTTTGAGTATGTTCTACTCAATTAGATGTTGTAATATATGCCACTCTCTAATTTTGCAACATCTTTTTAACTCCGCTGCTTCAAATGTTTTCTAAGAAGGTTCCCCTGGCCACAGATTCATAAGTGTAATAGAATTAGCAATGATTGTACTTCTCCCTTTGGAACACCGTAGATTTGACAGACATCAAATAAAATGCTAAGAGGGATAAAATAGCTCAGATAGCCCTTAGCTATCTTTTTTTCAAAATTTAACTAAAAATAGCCATTTTTAAATGTATACATATGCATTTATATTTGTGTATATACTGTACATGCAAACAACCAAAGTTTTACACATGTTAAAATATTTTTTACCAAGAGTTTCAATTCTATAAAAATAATGCCTGAGTTCCTCTGAACAAAAAGTAAGCCTTATGCAGAGTGCAAAATGTCATTAGTAATATGGATCAATTTGGTATTTCACAGGCAGCCAATGTTGCAGAAAGATGGGAAAGAAACATAGAATGCCAAGAGCAGTGTGTGCTTTGTGGAAAACTCGCCCAAGGCTCTGAAATACCAGATGTACTCATGTGAAATAGTTTAATGTTTTCTACCTAGAAAGCATAAATGTATGGATTACTTATAATTTTACAAATGCATGATTTTATTTTTACAAAAATAGGGATTCCACTAAGATTTTTATACTTTTAAAATAGTTATTATGGCTTGTTATATAGCATTAGGTTTCAGGAGATGCTTATAAATGTTACATTTTATTATAGAAATGTTATTCTTTACTGGTTTAAAAAAAACAGTTCATTTAAAGAATGCACAATCATTTAAAAGTAGACAGAGCCCCTGGAGTACAGGTTACAAATAAATACTGTACTCTTATAACCAGCTACTTTAACCACTTGCCCTCCTGAGGATTTACCCCCTTTCCTGACCAGGCCATTTTTTAACTATTAAACTATTAAACACGTCCAGTAAAAAAAATTTAAAAAAAATCAAATTTCATCATAAATTTAGGCCAAAATGTATTCTGCTACATGTCTTTGCTAAAAAAAAATCTTAATACGTGTGTAAATTAAATGGTTTACGTGAAAGTTATAGCATTTATAAATGGCAGTATAGATACTGGAAATTTTTTTTTACTAGTAATGGCAGCGATCAGCGACTTATAGCGAGACTACGGGGGGCATTCAGGTTGTCCACTCCACCTGTATATTCTTTGCGGTAACTTCCTGCATGCTGTACACCCCCTCGTGGCCATGTGCCTGAAGCCTTACATATGTCTGCTTTAAAATAATGATAGTGCTGTATAAAGCTGTATAGGAACAGCAGTCAAATTGTATTTGTCATTGTAAGGTATTAATGCAATACTATTTACAAAACATAAAATGTAATATATTTTGAATTTTTGCATTTCTGTGAAAACCATTTGAATATTTTTGGAAGCTAGATGTGATTGTAGTTGTATTAGTGCACTTGCGACAGAAACAATTGAGTACTGTCCGTGATACTTTTTTTATTTGCACTAACATACAATTTTGAGGACAAGCTTTCGGGGTATGTCCCCTTCTTCAAAGTCCAAACAGTACTATTACAAATCACAAAGTTTAAGCAGAATGTTAGAAGGGATGAAAAAAAAAAAAGGCTACAGATAAGATACAGCAAAAGGAGGGGGGAGGGGGGGATACTACACTCACACAGAGGGGATCAAGCTAGCTAATAGTCATAAAACTGTTGGATAATGAGTGAGGAATCCCATGTCCAAGTTAAGGCCGTTTATCTCTTGTGTCAAATAGAATTATCATTCTTAGTTCAAAAGTTTTTCTTTCCTGAATGGATTTGAATTTTCCTTTCAGAACTAAAACATTGAGGTCTGCCATTGTGTGGCCTGGTTTTGTGAAATGGTGTCCTACAGGTGTGCAGAGGTCATCTTCTTTATGTTCCTTGATGGTATGTCTGTGCAAATTCATCCTTGAATAATGGCCTAAACTTGGACATGGGATTCCTCAACCATTATCCGACAGTTTTATGACTATTAGCTGAAGCTTGACCCCCTCTGTGTGAGTGTAGTATCCCCCCCCCCTCCCTCGCTTTTGATGTATATTATCTGTAGCCTTTTTTTTTTTTTTTTCTTTTTTCAATCCCTTCTAACATTCTGCTTAAACTTTGTGATTTGTAATAGTACTGTTTGGACTTTGAAGAAGGGGACATACCCCGAAAGCTTGTCCTCAAAATTGTATGTTAGTGCAAATAAAAAAAGTATCACGGACAGTACTCAATTGTTTTCTGGAAGCTAGATGATAATGAATCAAATATACTGTTGATATTATTGTATTATTTGTTAAATTAACCACTTGCCCTCCAAAGGATTTACCCCCCCCCCTTCCTGACCAGGCCATTGTTTGCGATATGGTCCTGCATTATTTTAACTGACAATTGCGTGGTCATGCAAGCTGCAGCCAAATGAAATTTATGTACTGTACTTTTTTCCCCACAAATAGAGCTTTCTTTTGGTGGTATTTGATCGCCTGTATGTTTTTCATTTTTTGCACTATAAACAAAAAAAGACCTACAATTTTGAAAAAAAAACCTATATTTTTTTCTCTTTGCTATAAAACATGTCCAGTAAAAAAAATCAAAAAAAAAAAAATCAAATTTCATCATAAATTTAGGCGAAAATGTATTCTGATACATGTCTTTGCTAAAACAAATCCCAATATGTGCAAATTAATTCGTTTATGTGAAAGTTATAGCATATACAAATGTCAGTACATATACCAGATATTTTTTTACTAGCAATGGTGGTGATCAGCGACTTATAGCGGGACTGTGGCAGGCATTTTGACACTGGGGGGAACTGACTTGGTGCCACTGACATCCCCAGTGACACCAATACAGTGATCAGTGCTAATAAAAAGCACTGACACTGTACTAATGACACTGGGCAGGAAGGGGTTAACATCTGGGGTGATCAAAGGGTTAACTGTGTGCTGTTTTACTCTGTGTGCTATACAAAGCAGTATGCATGAGCTGACAGGGGAGAGATCTGTATTGTTTACATACAGGTCTCTCCCCATCGGAAATCCTCGGAGATCGCTGAGTGCCGGCGGGGAATAGGCTGCGAATGGCGGTACGGGTATCGCGTTTACCCGCCCCCTACCAGGAACTGCAAAATCACATATCTATACACGTGATTTTGCGCACCCGTGCCGCCCTGTAGCAGTATTTCTACTGTAGGGCGGCGTGGCATTGACTAATATTTTTCTTTTCTTTCTTTCTGCTTTGATGTTTAAATTCATGTTTTGTTATCTTTTTCTTCTTTCTTTTTTTCTATATACTTGTTATAAAAACTTTAAAATAAAATCAGAAAAATAGGAAGCTGCCATCTTAGCCTCTGTTTGATGAGCAACTGCCATGGTGCTGCACATGTGATCAGTTATGACACCAGAAGTTTGATGGTTTAATAGACTGGTTGAGAGCACCACAAATGTGACAGCATTTACAGCATGTGCTGGGAATGTAACTATTTTTGAAACTGTTAAAGCAATGGGTTTAGTTCCTCTTTAACTGAACAAGCTGACGTTAGTAGCGAATTTCTTACTATGCGCAGCGGCCTTCATTTACCATATTTCTGCTGCAATTTTAGTAAAAAATTCTGTACACTCCAGCAAGGAAAAATCCTACTTAGTTCTCTTGGCTTATTAGAGGCTGGACGCTTTGTTTGCCATAAGAAACCCTGGTCTGTATTGTGCACGAAGATTTCCATTACCAATTGTAACTAAATTTGAACACTGTCTGTCCTAACAAAGGGTTAGGACAAACTCATTCCAAAATTGTTCAAGATCGCTTGCAGTCAGTCATGACACCTTCTCCTAAGAAAAATCTAAAAGGTAGAAAACATTTTAAAAATATACATTTTAGACATGCTGTGTGAATGGGAACACAACAAATATAGTGGGGTTTTCTCAATTTTGAATGTAAAAGTGGAAATATGCTTTAAAACCAAATAAATATTGTTCCCTTTTTTCTGTTTATAAGCAATCTAAGCAACAGCTGGCATCCCAGTCCCCTGTACTCCAGCGCTGATCTATCCTGATGATGTGGCTACTGGTTCTACACTGATTACAACACAGGCATGGTAAAGACAAAACAAAGGCGGTAGTGATCAGTCAGATATCAGCATGCAGAGTGGCTTCAGTGGACTAGTTGTCACCACCTGCTTTGGTGTGGAGGAAGAATGCAAGACCCCAGATTAGGGTAAAGGGGTGCACTATTTGTTTATTTTTAGGATGGCTGTAGTCAGGCTTTAAATGTAAATAGACTTTACTTATACAAGCTAATGCAAACAAGTCAGTGGAAAAAAAGGGATATTCCCTAATTGCATCCCGGTTCACTATGCACCACATGAAATACAGCCCTACATTTATTTTCAAGGAACCTATGCATGTATTGATTGCACAATCACTGTTTAAATGATAGGATGGTGAGGAAATCCCTTTTGTGCAGTCATAAATGCAAAAGAGTGATCGTACCTTGTTATTGCTACCTTTCCTCCTTGGTTATATTTCAGTGCACTTTTATAGCCAGGATAGAACAGCATATTTCAGATACCTGATATAAAGAGATCAATTTATTCTTGTGGCAAATTTTACTTTTGTTTGAGTGAATGTTCACAAATTTTTGACTGACTGTAATAACAGTTTCGGGAAGAATCCTTAATATTACAACTGATGTTTAGGTATGACAATTTTTACATTTACCGTTACTTTGGTCCAGCTTGGTCCAATGCAAGTACTGTATGTATGTGCCATACCTGTGGGATCCCTGAGAAAGCTGGAAATCACTGTGGTAGACACTGCTCCTAATTTTGAACAATCAATTTTTTATATTTTTTTTATAATGTGATAATGTTTTGAACGATCTATTTTTGAACCAAGTGATAGGAAATATCTAATGACATGACTCAAATATATTGTATACGGGATGGTGATATTATTCCTAAATAGTAGGACATGTGGGTTTATTTATGCCTCTCTTGAAATCATAATAGTAGCAGTTTTTTATACCTATTCATGCTCTGGGCAATAAGCCCAATACAACACTTTCTGTTATATACACTATGTTGCCAAAGTATTGGGACGCCTGCCTTTACACGCACATGAACTTTAATGGCATCCCAGTCTTAGTCCGAAAGGTTCAGTATTGAATTGGCCCACCCTTTGCAACTATAACAACTTCAACTCTTCTGGGAAGGCTGTCCACAAGGTTTAGGAGTGTGTCTATGGGAATGTTTGACCATGCTTCGAGAAGCGCATTTGTGAGACCAGGCACTGATGTTGGACAAGAAGGCCTGGCTTGCATATGCCTTTAAGAGTTCCCTTCACTGGAACTAAGGGGCCAAGGCCAACTTCGGAAAAACAAGCCCCACACCAAACTTTAAACATGGCACAATGCAGTCAGGAAAGTACCGTTCTCCTGGCAACCGCCAAACCTAGACATGTGCATCGGATTGCCAGACAGTATGAATCATTACTCCAGAGAACATGTTTCCACTGCTCTAGAGTCCAGTGGTGATGTGCTTTACACCACTGAATCTGGCGCTTTGCATTGCACTTGGTGATGTAAGGCTTGGATGCACCTGCTCGGCCATGGAAACCTATTCCATAAAGCTCTCTACACATTTTTGTTGTGCTAATCTGAAGACCACACAAAATTTGGAGTTCTTTAGCTATTGACTCTAAAGACAGTTGGCGACTTCTGCACACTGTGCATTTCAGCATGCGCTGACCTCGCTCTGTCATTTTACACAACCTACCACTTCATGGCTGAGTTGCTGCTGTTCCCAATTGCTTGGACTTATTGCTTCGACTTGTTATAATACCACTAACAGTTGACCGTGGAATATTTAGTAGCAAGGAAATTTCATGGATGGACTTATTGCACAGGTGGCAACCTATCACAGTACCACGCTTGAATTCACTGAGCTCCTGAGAGTGACCCATTCTTTCACAAATGTTTGTAGAAGCAGTCTGCATGCCTAGGTGCTTGGTTGTATACACCTGTGGTCATTGAGGTGATTGTAACACCTGAGTCCAATGATTTGGAGGGGTGTCCCAATACTTTTAGCAATATAGTATATAATTTCAGTGTGCTATGCTGAAATTTGCTATGCTTAGTTATCTTCACCCTTATACTATTGTCATGAAAAATCTTTTAGAACATTGTTCTGCAAATTAAATAATATATCTGTGAAATGTTCTAATATTCACCACTTTTCCACAATATATAATACTAAGATTTATTTTACAATATAATGGCTCATAAAATAATAACCACTTCTTCACTCCAAGTATAGCACATATCCCTTAATGAAGAGAAAATAACTATGAATAATGGATTCATTCATTGTATACTATTGCATAGATTATTTGTTCCTTTTATTAGAATATACGGGACAAAAAACACACGTGTGAGCTAATATTGTTTATTATTGTGGTAGAGTAAAACAGCTTTCTTAAAGGGAACCTGTAATACTAGGAATGTGGGGGTTACCCATAAAAAACCTTTTTTTAAAGCTTCCAGTTCCCAGACCATCATCCTGATCCTTTGCCTTCACATTGCAGTAAGCTAAATCTATATTGTGCAGGTAAGGATTAGAGATGAGCGAATTATTCAAAAATTTGATTCGGCTGAGTCGCCGAATTTGCCGGAGAAATTCGATTCGATGCGAATTTATTCGCCGCAAATTTAACTTATTAAAAGGGTTTCTAGGCTTCAGAGCCTTTATATTAGTGCAGAACACTGTACCTTTAATTTAAATGCCCTTGGAGTCTGCTGGGGAAGAGAAATAATACTGTCAGTCAGTATGACATGCAGATGAGTGCCGTCGATCTTAGAATCACCGCACACTTCACTCATTTGGGCAGTCACGGGGCACGACGAAGAAGAAGAAGAAGAAGAAGAATGAAAAGAAGAATGAAAAGAAGAAGAAGAAGAATGAAAGAAGAAGAATGAAAAGAAGAAGAATGAAAAGAAGAAGAAGAATGAAAAGAAGAATGAAAAGAAGAAGAAGAAGAATGAAAAGAAGAAGAAGAATGAAAAGAAGAAGAAGAAGAATGAAAAGAAGAAGAAGATGAAAAGAAGAATGAAAAGAAGAAGAAGAAGAATGAAAAGAAGAAGAAGAATGAAAAGAAGAAGAAGAAGAATGAAAAGAAGAAGAAGAATGAAAAGAAGAAGAAGAATGAAAAGAAGAATGAGAAGAAGAATGAAAAGAAGAATGAAAAGAAGAATGAGAAGAATGAAAAGAAGAATGAAAAGAAGAAGAAGAAGAAGAATGAAAAGAAGAAGAATGAAAAGAAGAATGAGAAGAAGAATGAAAAGAAGAATGAAAAGAAGAATGAAAAGAAGAAGAAGAAGAATGAAAAGAAGAATGAAAAGAAGAAGAAGAAGAATGAAAAAAAGAAGAAGAAGAAGAATGAAAAGAAGAATGAAAAGAAGAAGAAGAAGAATGAAAAGAAGAAGAAGAAGAAGAATGAAAAGAAGAATGAAAAGAAGAAGAAGAATGAAAAGAAGAAGAAGAATGAAAAGAAGAATGAAAAGAAGAAGAAGAAGAAGAATGAAAAAGAAGAAGAAGAAGAATGAAAAGAAGAATGAAAAGAAGAGGAAGAAGAAGAATGAAAAGAAGAAGAAGAAGAATGAAAAGAAGAATGAAAAGAAGAAGAAGAATGAAAAGAAGAAGAAGAAGAATGAAAAGAAGAATGAAAAGAAGAAGAAGAAGAATGAAAAGAAGAATGAAAAGAAGAAGAAGAATGAAAAGAAGAAGAAGAAGAAGAATGAAAAGAAGAATGAAAAGAAGAAGAAGAAGAATGAAAAGAAGAATGAAAAGAAGAAGAAGAAAAAGAATGAAAAGAAGAATGAAAAGAAGAATGAGAAGAATGAAAAGAAGAAGAAGAAGAATGAAAAAAAGAAGAAGAAGAAGAATGAAAAGAAGAATGAAAAGAAGAAGAAGAAGAAGAATGAAAAGAAGAAGAAGAAGAATGAAAAGAAGAATGAAAAGAAGAAGAAGAAAGAAAAAAGAAGAAGAAGAAGAATGAAAAGAAGAATGAAAAGAAGAAGAAGAAGAAGAATGAAAAGAAGAAGAAGAATGAAAAGAAGAAGAATTAAAGTACAGCAAAAAGTGTATCTGCAGAGAGCTCCGCTATTTCTGACAGTTCTCTGACAGTTCCTTCACTTTTACAGCGGTTGAAACATTGTATCTATTTATTTCTGAATAAAAACATCTGTATCCTGAATGGAAACAAATAGATACAATGTTTCAACCGCTGTAAATGAACTGTCAGAACTGTCAGAAATAGCGGAGCTCTCTGCAGTGACACTTTTGCCGGCTGATCGGGAAAAATTCGATTCGTGCACCCGAAGTTTTGCTAAAATTCGGATTCGATGCAAATCGAATTTTTCCTGATATTCGAAAAGAATTCCACTTCGCCAGGTTCGATTCGCTCATCTCTAGTAAGGATATATGACATAACAATCTCTCAAATCTTTCTTAGTCAGAGACTCATACATTGAAGTCAAGTGAAGTTGGAGAATACAAGAATAACAGTACAAAAACTTGCAGGCTAAAAAAAAAAAAAAAAAAAAATCTGGAATAGCAGCTCCTATGTTTGTTTGTTTTTTGTTTTTTACAACAGATCCATAAGCTAAACAAATAAACAGTATTATATGATTAATATGTTTTAACACTTCTAATTTGCTCATTTCTGTTTTCAGAACATTTTGACAAAAAATATTTCAGTGTCCGTTAGTGTCAGATTGCTTACCACACTCCAGCCTTATTATTGCACTGATCCCACCATTACCCCACTGATCTGCACCATCTGTAGTATTAAAAAAAATCCAGTATACAGTATATCCCATATCCCAAGTTTTTAGGCACTATAACTTTTTACTCAAACCAATCAATATAGAGAATACATTTTGGCCAAAATTTATAGAGATTTTTTTTATTTTTTATTGGACATTTTTATTAGCAAAAAGTAAAAAATATTTTTAAAAAGTTTGGTCTTTTTTCCTTTATAGCACAAACAATTAAAAAAAACAGTGGTGATCAAATACCACCAAAAGAAATCTCTATTTGTGTGAAAAAAATTATATACATTTTGTTTGGGTACACCATTGCATGGCCATGCAATTACCAGTTAAAATGGTGCAAAAATCTTCCGGATCTGAATTGGTTGAACTGCATTTTTTCCTTGTAAATATCAGTTTTACTATAGTGGGTTGCATACATCATATAGATGCACCATTCCATAAGCAGTTCAGGGCATCTCCTATTCATGTTATTTAAGTATTTTTTCATTTTAATGGTGCCCTTTAAGCATTGTTAAAATTGCTGGTCCCTGCAAAATGGAATTTTTTTTAAAACTTTTTTTTACATGTTCCTCAGCCCCCCGCCATGTTTTTGACAATACCTTGCCTATTAGCCTAGAAAATGGCCATTAGTGTTTTTTAGGCTTCCATTGACTTGGATTTGGACTCATTAAGTTTATGAACTTACCCTGAATCTGAATATCATTGCAATGTGAATCCATTGGTGGTAGAGATTCTGAATGCAGGCATTAAATTGAAGCTTTAGACCCCTTTCACACTGGTGTTCTGTTTGTTCTTCATCCATTTTTTGACAGTTGAATAATGGACAGCAATGTATTCATTGACATCTGCATCCATTCAGGTCCATGTTTTTAAATGGAACAAGTCTGTTCCATTTAAAAAAGAGAAGTGATCCTAACAGGCGTAAACAAATGTAAACAGACAACATTGGTGTTTGCATTCATTTTTCTATACGATTTTGCAGTGGTTGTTAGGAGCCGGAACCAACATACACATATGGTCAATGACATCATCATGCCCCTTTGTTTACTTTAGTGTTGGCAAAAGCTGAGTGAGGAAAAAAAAGGGGAACCATGTGATGCTCTGAATCGTGCACCACACACTGCCCCCTACAGCAGCCAGAATGTACATCTGCTGCAGAGGAAACTGCTGTGCTTTACCTCTCTGGCAGCTGTCCATTGTATGTGAATAGAGCCTTATTGTGTTTTGCTATGATCCTGTGCTGCCTCCTCCTGTTTGTGTGCTAGATTGTTAAGCCATTAGTTAAAGTGGTTTTAAAGGCTGAAGGTTTTTTTACCCTTCACGCATTCTATGCTCAATACTTACCTGAGCCTGATCACGATCCAGCGATGTGCATGAGTGAATCAGTTTTCCCAGGTCTCTTCCTCCTCATTGGCTCAGACACAGTAGCAGGAGCCATTGGTGTGGGGTGGGGCCGAGATGCACTCTGTGTGTCTTATGGACACACAGAGAGGGGCTCAGGAGGGAGCACGCATGAGTACCCCCAGATAAAGCAGCTTGCTAGCAGGAGCACTCATCAGGGGGGTGGGGCCAGGAGTGTTGTCGGGTGACCAAGGAGAAGAGGATCGGGGCTGCTCTGTGCAAAACCATTACAAACACTTTAATCTTAGCCCTGTTAATTTAATTTTTAATTTTATCCTTGATTAGTGAAGAGCCTTCAGAGAGTCAGGAAGATTTGAGACTGAAATGTTTTTTTCACATCTAAGAAAACCAAACAAAAAATATCCTCTGTATTGTGCCAGACTGAAATGAACTACAGTGCATTTATAAAGTATTCAGAGCCCATTCGCAGCCTGATACTACAGTTGTTTTAATAACATTTTCCCATTAATCACTCAGTACCCCATAATGATGAAGTAAAAACAGAATTTTTAAAATGTTTGCAAATATATGAAAAATAAAAAACTGAAATATCACATTGGCATAAGTATTCAGACCCTTTACAACAACACTTGAAATTTAGCTCAGGTGCCAAGTTGCCATACTGTCTATACAGATTGGGTCTCAGTGGGTATGTCTTTTGCAAAAATTGCCATTTTATACAGAATACAAGCACATACACTTACTATAATAGTTTTACAAATTCAGGATGCTAAAAAAGGCACTAAATTAAGAGTAATTTGAA